CGGACTGAATTATATCACAAAAAAACTTCCAAGCACATTTGAACAAAAATAAGATGTTCGTCCCAGAAGCTTAAAAGTCAGGTCAGATGCCTCTGAAATTGTTGGAATGAACAGCAGTTGTCGAGAATTCCTGCCTTCTGCTTACTGTAGACCTCATCCCAAAAGGTCAGAGGGCTGTCCCATCTTTTTCTTGAAAACCTCCATGGGTTCTGTTATCATACTGCTCTAACATTTATCATTCCCTGTGTCCAAATCAACAAGTAGGATGATATTGGCAAATGCTGACCAATCTGATTTCTTTTTTTTAAAAAATGAATTGAAATTAAATTCTCACCACCTGTGTTATTGACTAGGGATCATCGTATGCATCTGGGCCATTTCCTCTATTTCATCCCTTTATCCCCTAAACTGAGATCCATCACATATTCTGACCTTGTTCAGCCACTGGAAACATCCTCCTGCTCCTCCTCCTTCTCCTTCATCATCTCAATGCTGACTTGATTTTGCTTCGCCCGTCGAATCTATGTTTTAGGATTGTATTGTTTTCTTTTCCTTTTGTTATGCCCTGTTGGGTTTTATACTGTTAACCGGCCAGAAACAGTGCTCTGCACTAATGGGGTGTATACAAATAAAATAAAATGAAATAAAATAAGGAAGGTTGGGAGTCCTCTTGTCCCATTACTAGGACCTCAATTTCTTTACTTTTTTGCATCGCTACCAGATAGGGTTGCATGCGACCTATATATATATATATAAGGAATTTATATTAGGAATAATCTCTGTAGTCTTCACTTCTGTCTGCTCATGTGTTGCTGCACTGAGATCTCGGATCTCTCCTTGGCGAGATATACACAGATATTAAACGGCTTACCAAGCTTATCTGGAAGGCATGCTTACCAATGACAGCAGCACACCATCCCCCTGATGTTTACTCAAATGATAAGCTGATTCTGAGCCTGGCACTTAATTAAATATGCAAATTAACCAGCCGCCCTCGGCCCCACGCTTAGAAGAGGATCGTGCTGTGCCGTGCAAAGCAAAACGGCTGAGCCAAAATATTCTGCCAGTTTGGTCTTGGGAAATCTCTACTAGCAGTAATCCGGGTCCCTGCAGGAGCTCAGATGGCCAAATGGGCCGTGGCTTAAGTCAACATTTTCATGACGGCTCTGACCAGGGAAGAAAGCCAGAGGACACCCGACTAGATTCCCCCCCCCTCAAAGAGAGAAGGAATCTGTTCGGGGAGGGGGTTATGGGTCAAATCACACCTCAAGGAAAAGGTCTGTTAGCTTCTCCCTCCGGGCACCCAGATCTTCCCAGCTCCACGACTAAGAAACCAGGATTGCAAATGAAGCCTGTGTTTGCCTCCCGATAACCAATCAAATCCCAAAACCAAACTCAGTTACAAGATCCAGACCGAAGCAAGCTTATGCCAGCAGAAAGAGAGGCCTTTTGACTGGGAATGAGGCTGACAGGTTTGTGTGGGTCCATGCGACCTATGGCTGCCCCTCTCCTGCTCTAGGAATTCAACCGGTACCCCGTGCAGGCTTCCGCTTTGTAATGAGTGGTCAGGGCAGTAGCCAAGCCAGTGGATGATCTGTCCTGGACGGGACCCACATTATGCCCCCCCCATAAACCTGTCCCACACAACAGAGACAAGAAAGAGGTTCCTATTCTCCTTCTCTCCTGAAATAATTTAAAATTCCTCTCTTGTGCTCTGCAGAGACTCTTACATAACTTAATCTCCTTTCAAGGCCCCCCGGTTACGGACTGCTTATGATTTCAACACGAGGAACCATATTAGTTAACAACGCTATTTCCAGACGAGCATAATTTGCCTTGTGGTTTGAATGGCAATTAAAAACGACAACAACCAACTCTCAAACTCAACCTGACGGTCTGGTTTATCAATTTAACAATATTCAGAATGGGGAAACCAGGAACAGTTTTAAAAAGATGCCACCCTCGTTCCAGATATAATTTGTCACCATATAAAGTGTCTGCTCCCAAAATTACTCAATCCAAAGGGAATAATACAGGAAGTCACAAAGCCTTGCTTGCTTTTTAAAAGAGAGATGGATTCTAGGGAGGGATGTAAAACCTGCCACTCTGTAGATTAATCAACTTAAACCTTAACCTAAGTTGATTAACCTAGAAAAGTTTTTGTGATAAAGCTGAGAGTAGTGGATGCTCTTGTGAACTTCCTAGAACAAAACATATATATTCAGCCTTAAATTCCACATTTTCCTTCCAGAAGACTGCCAATGTCCTTTTCTTGTTCATTGATTAAAAAAAAACACCCTAAGATTTCTTCTATCAAACTTACAAAGAACAGTCCCTGATCAAACGACAAAACAAATGAAATTCTCAGTAACAAATTCTGGGGAAAAAAAAACACTCATCACAAGAGTCTCCTGAGCCACATCACGTCCCCCGCAGAGAATCTCCCTCAAAAATGCAGCCAGCATTAGTGATCAACAAACTGGGAATCGTCATTTTCATCACCCCGGGAGCAGGTCTTTTGCAAGCATGACAGATCTGAATTACCAGCTCACAACTCAAGGACCAGGTACTTGGCATTATCAACAGTACCACAAGGCTACTGCTGCTGGAAAAATCTGTACTGTATTGGCCTGCAGTTAGTGTGGGAATTGCAGCTCACCACTAGGGGGAAAGGAAGCCTGGTTGTGACCTCCCTCTGCCACCAATTTGAAGTTTAGCCTTGGTTTTGTCTCTTTCTTGAATCCTTCATTTCCTCCCACTCCCCCCAAAACAGGCTGGTGTTTACCCTCCCCTGAAATGCCATTGGCTCCTCTACCAGATTTTTCTTGCTTGCATCACCGGGTGGCTCAAGGAAGGAGGGGGGGATTATTTTAAAAAAGGATGCTCCAACCCCCCCCTGCCCACTTCTCCTTTTAAGACAAGGATCCAAGGACACCCTAGAAGCTTTCTGCCTCTTAGCCTCATCCAAGGAGTTTCTCGTTCCCTCGAAACATGCAGCTGATGGCTCGGCTCGTAGCACTGCTGTTGCTGCTGTGGACTGTCAGAGCCTCAGTTCTGCCGGGAGAGGAGAAGTTTTCGGTACAGAGCAGCCGGGTAAGTCCACCAGGATGATCTTCTTTGGGGATCTGGGACTTTTAAAGTCTCTTTTTCATCCCCACCCCTGGTTTTTTCTATCTCTCTCTCTCTCTCTCTCTCTTAATACATTCGGAGCTGCTAGTTCTGGGGACAAAGGTTTGGTGGTGGCGGCTGTTATTCCAAAACGAAAAATACATGGGAGGGAAGAGATTAGACATGAGGCATCCACAGCATCTATGGATCAAGAAAGAAGTTAAACAAAGAAAGGGGGGAAAGGTTCTTTTCCTGAATGGGGTTTGAGAGAGTGAATATTGATGGGGAGTACTGGGCGGGGGTGGTGGTAGGGAGAGAATCAGGGACCCAAAGATCAATGGTGTAAACCTCTGTTTTTCTGCCCAGAAGTGAGAAGGAAGCATGAGGATTATTCAGTTCTCAGGTCGGTGGAAAATTTATTGCAGCCTCAGAAAAAGAAGGAGAAGGGGAGAGAGGGAATTTAGGAAGGGATGAAAGGGAAAAAAATAGAAGAGGCTCAGGTTGTTAAAAAGAGAGAATTCTTTTCTTAAAAGGATGTCCTTAATTTTGGAAACAATGCACCTTGTTTCAGCATCCATTCCTTAATTTCGGAATGGTTGCTGCTCCCAGGTATTTTTTCTGCTCCAGGGTATTTTTCGTATGGAAGGGGTTGATCTGGAAACTAAACGGTGTTCGTACTTCTTAGTTTGGGTTTTTATCAAAATCTGCTCCTGGAGTTGGAATTCTGGATGCCGATGGTCCTTCTCTTGATGACTGTCTTTCTGCCCAGACGAATAGGGAATAATTTTAGCCTACCCCCTTGATAGCAGTTCAGAATAATTACCCCTAAAGGTGTTTGTTTGTTTTTTAAAGTAGCAGGTCTTGCGTGCCCCTTTGGTGTTAACAGGCAGAAATCAGTCAGGTCATGCTTCCCCATCAAAGTATCTGGTGTTATCAGAGCTGCACCTGTTGAGTCTTTCTTTCTTACTTACTTATATTACACCACCCTCTGTCTCTCGTATTTTCTCCTTGAATGCAGGAGCAAACCAAAGCCCGCAAAGGCCTGATCCTGAAAATGCTGGCAGATCTACTAGATGGGGCAGAGGTTGGTCAGGATGCGACACCTTTCTCAGACTCAGAAGACCTTCCCGAAAGCAAGCTGGAAGAGGAGCCGTCGGCGCTGGGGCGGTTCTCCCAGATCACCCAGCGAGATCGCAAGGCCCCGTGTAAAAACTTCTTCTGGAAGACCTTCACCGCCTGCTAACAGCCCCCTATGCCCCCACCTCCTCCTCCACCAACAACCCCCAGCCCCCTTTTGCCTCTGGGTCTGGGGCTCCTCTCACCCCCATCCCACTATGTAACATGGGTCAAGAAGGGAAACATATCCACAGAGCAGATCCCCCTCCCTTCCTTTAACCTAGAGTTCACCCTCCAGGAACCAGTACCTTGTTTCCCCGAAAATCAGACCTAACCTGAAAACAAGCCCTAGTCGGATTTTTCAGGATGCTCGTCATTTAAATCCTTCCCCAATAATAAGCCCTAGTTAAGTAAAACTCTGCCCTCCACCCTTGTGCAGCAACCAGAAACAGATGACGTGATTGTATTTGAATCAATGTAGTTTGTTGTATTGGGGGAGGGGAATCCCCTGAAAATAAGCCCTAATGCTTTTTTTAAAAAGCAAAAAATTAGTATAAGACCCTGTCTTATTTTCGTGGAAACAGGGTCGATGAGGCTTTTCATGGCACAGAGCAGAAAAAAAAATAAAGGATCATGCACTGCCGGGAAGAACTGGTTGATGTGTTGGAAGCTCTTCTCATTCCTGCTCTCATGCCCATGTCAGGAGCTATTCCCGCCCCTATAAAATAGCACTCACCCCTCCGGAGTTCTGCATTTGTCTCTTCTCTTGTTAGTCCTCTTGCCAAACGGTACAAACTTCGGCTCTTACGGTGGTTCCATCCGCAAATAAAGCATGGCCTCAGGAGATTTGGGACTCAGCAGTGTATTCCTTGTTGTCTTCTTTCCTCTTGGTGGCTCTTTTCGGGGCTGAGTGATGGAGAGGGGGTGCTGAGGACGTCCAGGCATTCATCTGGGGCAGAAGGAGGTGGAAACAAAATTCAAGGTTGCAGAAAGACAGCTGCTGGTCATCTCAGTGGTTCCCTACCTTGGGTCTCCAGAGGTTTTTGGACTGCAGAAACTCCCAGAAATCCTGCCCAGCACAGCTCTTGCTGAAGTCTTTTGGGAGTTGCAGTTCAAGAACCTCCAGAGACCCAAGGTGGGGAACCCTTGATGTAGACGTTGCTGGATGCCAGCTCTGACAAGCCCCGGCCGGTGGGGTCAAAAAAAGCAGGGATGACGGGAGATGAGGTCCGGAGACATTTGGAGTAGAACCCCACTGACCCAGGCTTGGAAAAGTGGCCGTGGTGGCTGGATCCTGGAAGACGTGGCTGGAGAAGACAGATAATTTGGGGAGCTCTGCACCCAACAGAAGAAGAGCATTGGCCACAGATTTTGGGGGGAGGAAGTCCCAATGGAAGATGTTCTTCCCAGGCAACCTTTGCTAAAATTCCTTGCTTCCCCCCAATTCTTTCTCACCCTTTTTCTCCCACTGATTAGCCACTTGGCGAGTTCATCTGCAGCCCCAGACCGTGGTGCCTCCCAGGGAAAAAGAGGGAAGGCCAAACAAAGAGCCGGGACTACTCGTTAAGAGGAAGCATCTGTGCTGCAAGTGAAGGAAAACCCACCAAGTTCATTTTGGAAAAGGGACGGCAGCCCCATGAAATTGACCTCTGCCCTACCGGCTCTTTTCGAAGGTCCTGTCGTTCTTGATTAAATTCCTGCAGATTGCCACAGGTGGGATCCCAGTAGCTTAAGGACAGACAAAAATAATCACACAAGCCAGAGTCTGGCCTTACCTTCAAAATAAAAAAAAAAAAGGGGGGGGACAACAAGCAAACTGCAAAGGAGGAGTGTTTGGGGGGGGGACACACACGCCGGCCGGGTTAGGGGAAGCGATCATGTTTGCAGGATTGCTCTTGAAACTGGGTGGAAGGAGGGCGGGAGGGAGCCAGGAGGCGATGTGCGAGGCCAGCCCATGGATTTCCTGCTAGGTGGAACGGCTCTGGTGGCCGTAGAAGCCTTCCTGTTCATCCCCAACACCTCCCATCACACAGGGGCATGTTGGCTTTTGCACAGTTTGACAGAAAGATAAGATGCCGGAGAAATTTGTGCGGGGGTGGCCCAGGGCACGGAGGGTCTGTTTGTTTACCGATAGGCAGCTGAAGAACAGATTCTCAGGGCACAGCAGCTCAGACGCAGGCAGCGCTCGCTGGAGGGCAGAATCAACACCGGCGTCTGACTCAGTCAATTTTTAAAGCACTTCGGGATGTTTCCTCTGCTTTGCTCCAAAGACGCCGGGATTCGGTGCCAATGTGCAGATTAGAGATTAAGAAGGAGAACCTCCACCGGTATGGTCAGCACAGACGTGTCTGCCTGCAGAGGATCCTGCCCCAAGATCCCATGCAAAGATTTTCCTGTCCCAGTAGCCAAACTGAACTTTCAGTTGCTTCACTTAGGCTGCTCAGGAAGAGAGGATTTGGGAGAAGACACCTCTCTCCTTGAACAGTTGGGATGTTGACTGACATTCCGTGACACCACGTTGGAGGGCAGAGACCGGCAAGCAAGCAACCAGCAGCCGATTGAGCTACTGTTGTTGTTGCCTTGTACAAGACTACCCCTTTTAAATATAAATAAATGCCCATATAGAGATGCATAGTTGCACCTAAAGCAGGGGTTGGCAATTAATTTCTATAGGGGGGGCCACATGAAAAATCTGAACTGTGTTTGGGGGCCGAACCAACTTTACTTAAAAATAAAATGAAACAGTGATGTTATGATTGTTTTTATTTTAAACTTGTTAATCCTCACAAATACTAAAGAGTTTTTTTGCAGTATGTTAAAGATAAGCAACTGATCAACTTTAGACAAAAAGCTATAAATGGTTTTGATGTTCAAAACTGTCCGCGGGCCGGACAGGAGCTGCTCGCGGGCCGCACTTTGCCCAGGTCTGACCTCAAGGCATGGCTTTACTCTGATTGTCAACATTCCTGCCACTTTTAACACATCCGGTCTCATCTAATCGTGAAAGTGACACAGAGATGGACTGGTGGGACTACCAAGGATTTCCACCTAGGATTAGAAAAAACCCTAGCTGGAAAAAAAGGACAGGCATTGTTACCACTCTTGAGTTGCCAGTCTGGGCGAGAAGCTAAGCTACTTCCTGTGTTCCCAGTTTCCCAAATCTAATTACAGGGCCAGGTGAGCAAATTAATTACCAAGCACTCCAGGGCTGAGACTCCACTCTGAAATCAGCTGAAGGCCTGTGAGGAGAGGATCCGGCCCATCATGGTGAGTGGGAGACGCAGCGCCTGCACCTGGCCTATGCTGCCAGAATGGGAGACCCCAGCCAAAGGATCTGAGCCGGGGTGGGGGGGTGGGGTGAGGGGCTGGCCCTGTCGATTCTTGTTGCCGGTGCTCAAGGAGAAGCCGCGCGTTAGAAACCCCAGGTGTGGGGCTGGCACCGGAGGGAGGCATTGGAAGGGGGCATCTCTGACTCATTGTGTCAGGCTCTGTGGCTGATGAGCCCAGCAGGGTAGAGAGTGGGAGGGAGGGGGTGGGCGGAATGGCGCCCCCTTCATTTTCTCCAGTCACATCCAGCCAAGAATGAAGAGGCGGAACAGCAAAGAAGAACGGTCCTTAAAAATCAGGAAGAGAGAGAAACAGAGAGAGGAGCGATGCCACACACAGGGGGAGGGGGGGGGAAAGAATCTGGCTCCCTTCCGTATCCAGAACATGGCCTCATCCGGTCCTTCTGTGAAATAATTCATTACTGTTCCAACACCTACCAGCTTTCTCCCTCGCCACTGGAAAAAATAGTTACCATTGTATTTAAAATCTATAAATGAACTACTTGAGCTTCCATTTTTCAAAGGCAGCAACATTAGTTACCTTTAGTTACTTTGGGGATGGGAACTCTGGATACTAGATATGGGATGAAAAAGGGAACAAGGGTTTTATGTCTCTGATAGTTGGTTAATACAAGAAATTTCAACAGATGCATCTTACATTATAATTAGATCAAATCATCCTAGAACGGCAGAGCTGGAAGGGGATCCTCTAGATCCGTGGTCCCCAACCTTGGACCTCCAGATGTTCATGGACTTCAACTCCCAGAAACTCTGGCCAGCAGAGGTGGTGGTGAAGGCTTCTGGGAGTTGTAGTCCAAGAACATCTGGAGGCCCAAGGTTGGAGACCACTGCTCTAGATCATCCAGTCCAGCCTCCATCTGGAGGGAATCAGACTCCCAACCTCTGGCTCCGCAGCCAGAGACTGAAACCACTGAGCTATCCAGTCATTCTATAATAACAATCATCTTAGAACTGCAGAGCTAGAAGGGACCCTATGGATCATCCGGTCCAGCCCCTGTCAAGGAGGCCCAGCAACATGAATTCTGGTCAGTTTCACAGCCCAAGGTTTAAACCAGTGAGCTATCCAGAAGTTCCCCAAGCTCTGGGCAATTCATGAAAAGGATAGGACCCCCTGACCTCTTCTTCACTTGGACACCCAAGTCCCAGAGGACCAAAGGTGTTCCTTGGCCCCCCTCAATGAAGTCAGTCTCTGCTGCAGATGAATGGGAGAACCCATCCAGATGTGCTGGTACTCCATCTCCCTTTGCCATCAGCTATGGCTCAGGGGAGCTACCACTCAACCACATCTGGAAGACACTGCATTCTTCTCCTCCACTGCTCTGGAGCAACAACAACAACAATAACAAAAAACGGGAGCAAGGGGGGAGTAGGCGGGTGGGATATATTCCATTTGCTTCCAGAGATGAGAGGAAGGGAAGATGGAGAAGCCAAGATAAGAAGGGAGAAGCCAGGCCATCGCTCTTGTTGACGTCGGATTAATCTCCCCCACTTTTCTGCTGGGTTCTACTTAACAGCCTCATAATGACCTGAAATTGCCTCTGATAAATCGCAGCTGAAGTTTGCTTCATCGCGGCTGCCATGCTGAGGGACAAGCCATTCTTCTTCCAATTTAGGGCTCTGATGCCTGTTAACATGGATTAGGGCTCTCCATATGGTGCTCCTTAGCCCAGCGTGCCCAGGTCTGGCCCCCCTCCGCCCACGCCCTGGAGGTCTGCCTAACGAGGACGGATGGGGAGCCCTTTTCTCAGCAAATGGGACGCAGATGGTCCGAGACAGTTTTTGCTTGCTCGCTCTGAAACCTAATTTCATTCTAGATATTGCTTATCATATCCCCCTTCAGCACAGAAATGGGAGAGGATTTGTCTACAAAGATCCTGACCAGCTGAAGTCTTTGGGAGAGAAGAAATTTTGGAGGGAGACGCAAGACGATGGTCTAGAACTGGAATCTGTTTTTGGAAAGCCGGGGTAAGGGGTGACATTTTTGGATTTCTTGGACTATAACAGCCCCAGGGATCCCACCCCT